CTCGCCCTCATCTTTAAAATGGGTATGATAATAAAACAGTGGGTAGTTGTGAGGACTAAATGAATTAATATACATAAAGCATTACAGTAAACAGAAATACCTTAGAATAATACCTGTCACACAATAAATGATCAATAGATGTTAGCTATGCTAATTATTTTTTATGGGCTTTTCAGTTTTTAGTTTCTCCTCATCCAATCACATAAGTCTGACCATGTCACTGAAAGGATGCAAGTAGACCCTCATCACCTTCAAGATAAAATTAAAAAAAAAACACAAAACCCTCTTTAGTCCTTGTCTACTTCTCCAACCTCTTTGGAATTGCTTGCCACCTCCCCCAAGGCATTCCAAATTGTATTTTTATGGACAGATGATGTTCTCTTAATCTTATATAAAGCATTTATAAGAACATTGACATTTTTATTAATCTATACTTAATCTAAATAAAGACAGCGTGTTTGCTATGCAAATGCAAGCTTTGGGATAAGTCCTCTAGGTGTCCACTTCCCAGCTCTAACCAGGTTGCTGCCCCATTTCCCTCTTATGTAGAAATATGGAACAGTTGATACAATGTTTCAGCTGAGACCTAAATGAGAAGAAGGACCCAGCACTGCAAAAAGCTGGGGAAAGGTTCTGGGCAAAGGAAGCAATGTATATGCAGGCCCTCTGGGTTGGGAAGAGATTGTTATATTTTAGCAACTGAAAGGCCAGTGTGGCTGAATGGTGGTGAACAAGAAGGTAAATAAAACAGAAGTATGGTAAGATGGGCAGGGTTCAGGTCTTTTTGGGTTTTGTAGGCCATTGTAGAATTTGGACTTTACATAAAATGGGCCACAAATAAAGGGGTTATATGGTAGAATGGCATAATCTAAATTTTAATAAAATCACTGGCTATTATGTGGAGAATGTATTGGAGGTAGGCACAAATGGAAGCAGAGAGATCAGTTTGGAAGCTATTGTGTAGTACAGCAAAAGATGGTGATAGTTTGGAATAGAGTGGTAGCTGTGGAGATAGAGTTACTGATGGACCCACCACAGGAATGTGTGTGGTAAGGGAAGAGAAAGATTATGCCTATGTTACTGGCTTGAACAAGTGAAGTAGACTATTAAGATGCAGAAGACAAGTGATGGAGGGAACAGATTTAGGGAGTGAGACCAAATCAGTTTAGTACTTTTGAGGTTTGAGAGTAAGATACCTAACTTGGTATCAATTATGTAGTTGGGTGTAGGAGTTATGAAAGATAATCAGTTAAGAATTTTGATTTTGATTAGTACTATTAGTGATTATCAGTAAATACACATATATGTCTCCCCCCAAAGTATGTTTACACTTCAACTGACTTTCATTTCACAAAAAGGACCCAGGCTCAGACAAAACTTGCAACATGGCAACAATTGTGATTTTACCATAAATTCATGAAGTTGTATGCCATGCAGCATCTAACCTAGGGCTTGAACATAGTAGAGGATTACCAAGTATTTTTTGAATTAGTAAGTGAATAAAGTCATAATAATTCCATGCTATTCATCCTCATAAAAGATGTGTAATAATTATTTGCACATGATTTTAGAATTTATGGTGTGCTTGCTATGGTCTGAATGTTGGTGTTCCCTCCTAAGTTAATATGTTGAAATTTCTAATTTCTGAGGTGGTGGTATTGGAAGGTTGGGCCTTTGGAAGGTGATTAGGTCATGAGGATGGAGCTCTCATGAATGACATTAGTGTCCTTATACAAGCAACCCCAGAGAGCTCACTTGCCCCGTTGTACAATGTGAGGGCACAGCAAGAAGTCACTTGCTATGAATCAGGAAGAGGGCTCTCACCCAGTTGTGCTGGCACATTGATCTTGGACTACTAACTTCCATGACTGTGTAAAATAAGTTTCTGTTATTTATAAGCCCTCTAGTTTTGGTATTTTGTTATAGCAGCCTGAATGGACCAAGACAGTGCTTTTACATTGATTATGTCATTTTATTCATTTTTTACTAAACTTTTTATTTTGAGATAATTATAGAGTCACATACAAATTGTAAAAAGTAATACAGAGAGATCCTGTGTATCTTTTACCTGGTTTACCCTAGTGGTAACATCTTGCAGAACTCTAATATTACAACCAGGATATCGATATTGTACAGAAAAATCCCATCACTACAAGGATCAGTTATGTGGCCCTTTTTTTAGAACACCCACTTCTCTCCCAACCCTTAATCCACCCTAACCCATGGCAACCACTAATCTGTTTTCTATTTCTATAATTTTGTCATACAGAACCATACAGGATGCAACTTCTTAGGATTGGATGTTTTCACTGGAGATTCATTCAGATTATTGTGTATAGTCAACAGTTCCTTCTGTTTTTCTTTTTTAAGCGTGAAATTCAATGATTTTTAGTATTTTCACACA